GCTGCTCGTGGTGCCAGACGCCAAAGTGCTGCTCCGTCGTTGTTGCTGTCCTCGCTTAGCACCAGCAATACACCAATACCCAGAATATCGAACATCAACGCAATATTCTCACCACTTGCAACACGGACTTCCATAATTGTCGATTCAAGTTGTCTCATCAAAGTAGGCATTATACGTTCGAATTGGGCACGTGGACCCGAAGACGATGACGACTTACTTTCACGGTAATCTCCCCATAAACCAGCGTATAATAGACCATGGGCATTCAACGCGCTCGTGAGTGAAGCGGGGTCATTAACCGCATGAATGTTTTTCGCGTTCGAGGAAATAATGTTATAAAAGAAGTCTAGCAATTCGAGTGCGTCTTTATTTGATGCAGCGATAAAACAGGCCAGACCTAGTGTATTAATGCACTTTAAATATTATTAATACCAGAATTTTATTAGGATTGTTATTGAGAAACTTGATGCTTACTTCACTCTTGACTTCGGTAGACGCATTATTTGTGATAGTGTACTTAAACAATTCTAATATGTCGTAGAACATTGCCTCTTGTCCTTCACCGAGTGTAATAAACAACAGCGACATAACTAATAATTTGCAATGAAATTTCATTTTAATTGAATTATTCCATAGCAGCCAAAAAATCAATTACCTTTGGCAGCAAGTCTGTTTTCTGTATAGCTTTTAGTTTTCTTGACGGATCGATTCAACAGATCTAATAATGTCTGACTTCGTGATTCAAGAACTTCAGCAGCATATCTATGTGAGAGAAGACGTATCAATTTTGTCAAAGCTTCTTCTCTTTTACTATTATTAAAAAAAAAATGGTGAATTAATTAGTATGTCAATTCATCTTCATTGCTAGATTTTAAAACGAACACCATATAGAAAATAAATCAACGTCTTTAATAACGAACAAATGAGAACATGTTATACATGTAATATATACCTGGTTCTTTTTTCTTCCAAGTCTTCAATGGATTGAATAATTTGATCCTCATAGTTAACCACTAAATCTTGTTCTTGTTCCGCGCCAACACGAGTTCCAGCGGAGCCCCACGAGTCCACAGTATCACCCGACGTCTCACTCCACGCTTCTTCTTCCGATGTATTATGGTGACTACTAATTGGTGTATTGCTGGTGCTAAGCGAGGACAGCAACAACGACGGAGCAGCACTTTGGCGTCTGGCACCACGAGCAGC